ATCATCTAAAGCCTAGATTGTGAGCTCCCAGGGACAGGGACTGTTTGTGTTATTTATGTGTGTAGTGCCTAGCAATTGGTACCCGACTCAATAGATACAATGAACTATCATAATAACTCCCCTTTGAGAACAATATACATCTATAAAACTAAGAGAAAACACTATCTCCATTATCCAGGACTTTCTTGGCTCTTAGGAGGGCTGAAAAGAGACTGCTCCATTAGATAGTATCCCTCTACGGCAAAGTCTTTCCCTTGTAATAACTATCTTGTTAATAGATCTTTTCCTTTGTATACTTTTCCCCAGAGTATTCACCTAGGAAGATTTCCCTTTGTTTTTCCCCTCATGGATATGAAAAGCTTCTCTCTTTGAAAGCAAAAATATCCTTCAACCAAAGTGTTGCTAAAAATGGGTTCTGACATTATTTTCCACTGACATATAGCTGAAGAAAGCTCTGCATTTGGGTATTTTGTGTAAATACAAAATGACAGTTCCCAGAAAGATCCCACTCAAAAACAGGCTTCAGCTTTTTTTTTCTTCCCAAGTTTCATATAGTTGTAATAAAGCAATCATTCAGACTAAGAGATGACGACATGACACCTGTGAAAATATAAGTGCATAACTGGCACGATGTCATCTCAAATCTGCTGGAGCTAAAATAAAATTAAGGAAATTACAGTGTTTTTCTTCAAATTATTCACACTGCAAATTACCCATAGGACAATCCTGAAAAAGCTGGTATTAAGTAAGTAAGAACAGCACACCTCAGACAGTTGACGGGTTGAAAAAAAAAATTTCAGTAGTGCATTGTTTTTTATACAACACTGTTGCCAATTCAAAAGCCGTTGAAGTTGAGATCCCCATTAAATTCCATTAGTTTTGGATTAAGCGCCAAATGCTCAATCTGTGCTGTCATGTTCCATTTTAGATACTTCTTCAACAGACCTGCAAATGGCTATAGCAAGCTTCAGTCCTGGAGCAACAACAAAAAGCCTGTCTAGCAGAGCTGTCTTGACTCCAAGAGTTTGTTTGACATTCATTCCACTATTGGACAAAAGCTACTTAAACCAAGCTCCCAGTTCCCTTCAGGCCTACCTGACTGAATTTGGACTTTCTAACATTCTTAAATGAAACTGAAGGAATTCAGGGCCAAATTTTCAAAGTTTGATGCTTAAGTTATGCACTCAATATTTGGATGTACACTCAAAGAACACCTAATCCCTCTCATTCGTAGGAGCAAAGGAGCACATTTGCCTTGGCAAAATGATTAGTGCATGCTTAAGAAGCCATTTTGCTCATGCTTCTGTTCTCCACTTGGTATGCACTTCTGATTGGCATTTGTCCAACTCATTCACAAAATGGCTGTGTGTGCAAACCTAGTAGAATTACATTAAACACCAACCTTTGATTGCTTGCACTCATGCTTTTCTTACCATCTTACTTTGGTGTTCTGGATCACTTCTACTGCACACTTCTGTTCTCCTAGGGTTTGTGCCTTCTGCTGTGTCTCATGCTTTTATACACCATCATTTTTCTGTGCCTGTGTATCAGAAGGCTACGGTTTAATTAAATCTTTTCTCATTCATGTGCACTTCAAAGACATCAAGGTTAGGGAGCAAAGTGGGAGCAAATCCACTCTATGCCCAAACACTGAGGGGTTATCTTTACATTAAGTACAGATCTGAATATTTGAATCCACAGCTCAAGGCAATCTTGAATACATCATATTAGCACAGGTACTTTTCTCATGAATATGTAAAACAGGCTTAAATAAATACACTTCTAAAAAAATCATCAAAAATGGAGAAAAAGAGAGACATAAAGTATAGAGTGAATAAATTGGAATTGACTTTTCTTAGATAATTAACTGTGGCCTCTTCATCATTATATACTGCTTGTCTTTTGTGTAATGCTTATGCTTCATTCCTTTCAGAGGCATTCGTATACTACTTTACCAATCTGCTCTTTTCTCAGTAAATACAGAGTGTCTGTCAGACCCAGGGTTTCTTTTCCATCATGCTGCTAGAGAATTATGAAATGAAGATTAGCAAATTCTATGAGTACATCATAAATGAGATTAGTTCACAGGGAGGGATATTACTTGAGGTGATATCTGTGGGTGGAAGATATTTATCTCCATAGCAGCACAAAGTTTACAATAAACCAAACGTATCATGATCACCTTTTCTTTTTTTTAAACTAGCTGAAGCAATCATAATGTACTTTTTGGACATCTAATAGACTGTCAGGCTTTTTAGTCTTGAAAGGGTTAAAAAGGCTAGAGGCAGTGTGAGAGAGCTCTTTTTCATGACATTTCTAACAAGCTGAACAAAATCCAGTCCTTGTTTAATGAGCACATATTTTATACAAATAAGCTCCAATGAGCTTACCCATCTCTAATTAAACTAGAAAGGAAACATTTGTCCTAATTGGACTGCATAACTGAAGAATTAATCGGGAGACTGCTTAGAATTGCAATCTTATGGCCCAATTCACAGAAAAACACTTTCATGACAGGACATGCTACATGCAATTTCAGTCATGGTTTTTTTCCATGAGCAAGTAACTCCAAATGTAGTTTTAATGGGTTTCTTTTTTCTTTTGAAAAAGGCTGTTCACACAAAAAGTATGGGTCTTGATAGAGGTTAAGGTTGTAGTATACTTGCTGCAGTATTTTAATGTGGTTACCCAAAAATAACTCTCTGTCACTATAATTAAGGACTTGTCCAATTTTGACAGAGAAAATTGCATGCTACTTATTTACAAATATCCAAAGAACAGTTATTGTGCTCAGTTGACTCAAGCTGCAAAAAAAAAAAGAGCAACATAAGAATCCATATTCCTTCCCAGCAATGCCTGGCCTTAAGTAGGATGCTGCCAAAGGTTTAGAAGTTTTCAGCTGAACAGCCGAAACTTTTGGACGGCGTTAATTAAAATAGGACTTTCAAGCAATGACATGCCAGATGATGGACATTACTAGAGAACTTCTCTGTCTTGCAAATCCCATCCGATTAGTTTACCAACAAAAGCAAGTTTCAACAATTGCCAGCATTGCTCTGCCAACATTTGCTATAGTAGAAAGAAGTGGAATCTATTCTGCCTTAAGCCTCATCAGCAAAATTGTCAGCTAAGTTCCGATTCCAGAATCCTTATGAATGATGGTTAACATACAAGACAGAACACAGTGCAGCTGTGAGATGCAGGCTACAGCACGTGGCATGATGGCATTTAGAGAAATCTTGCTTTAACCTGTAAAGCAAGTACTTTCTATGGACCCTAACCCAAAAATCTTTATTGAGCCCTTACTGTGGCCAAACTTGCATTAAAATCAACTGTTCTAAAATGGTACATGCTGAGATTTTCAAAGCAGTTTAAAGGATTTATACATGCTTAGTTTCTATTCAAATTCAATTACATTTGAGTGACTAATTCCCATCGCCTACTCTGAAATGCCCAGACATAATGATCCCAAAAGAGAATCTATAAAAATGACACCTTAGTTTCATAGTTGGTAGGGTTGGAAGGGTCCTAAGCAGATCACCAAGCCCACCCCCCTGCCATGGGCAGGAAAGAATGCTGGGGTCAAATGACCCCGGCCAGGTGATTATCCAGCCTCCCCTTGAAGACCCCCAGGGTAGAAGCAAGCACCACTTCCCTTGGAAGTTGGTTCCAGATCCTAGCTGCCCTGACTGTGAAGTAGCGCCTCCTGATGTCTAGCCTGAATCTACTCTCCGTCAACTTATGGCCATTATTCCTTGTTACTCCCGGTAGTGCTCAGGGGAACAGGGCCTCTCCCAATGCCTGCTGGTCACCCTTGGCACATTTATAGATGGCCATCAGATCCCCTCTCAGCCTTCTCTTGTGGAGGCTGAACAGGTTCAGGTCCCGTAGCCTCTCCTCATAGGGCCTGCCTTGCTGCCCCCTGATCATGTGAGTGGCCCTCCTTTGGACCCTCTCAATGTTGTCCACCTCCCTCCTGAAGTGCGGTGCCCAGAACTGGACACAGAACTCCAACTGTGGCCTGACCAATGTCACATAGAGGGGGAGGATCACCTCCTTGGACCTGCGTGTGATGCATCTGTGGATGCATGACAAGGTGCAGTTAGCCTTCCTGACCACATCATCACATTGGCAGCCCACGTTCATCTTGGAATCAATAGTGACTCCAAGATCCTTTTCTCCCTCTTTGCTGACAAGAAGGGAGTGTCCCAGCCTGTAGGTATACTGCTGGTTCTTCCTCCCCCAGGTGCAGTACCTTGCACTTGTCAGTATTGAAGTGTTGTTGAACTGAAGTGTGTTGTTTACTCTCCAGCACTGACAATGGGATTGACCCAATGGGGGTTTGGTCTCAGTAGGTGTATCTACACATGCAATTAATGCAAAGAAATAAACTCTGGAGAAGTTTGAGCCAGAGTAAACTACTTTCAGGAACAGTATCTACATGTGAGCCAAAGACAGTAGCAATTTGAGCTGGGGTGGAGCAGGCCTGGGTTAGCAGGGGGCATTAGATGTCAGCCCTGGGTGGCATTAGTTGGCAGAGGGGCTGGATGGGACATGATCATGCTGAAAGTGCAGAGCTGGCAGGACTCTGGACCCTAGCTGGCTGGGCGGATGGGGCACAATTTACATCTTGTCAGTGTCTGCACGTGTTTAATCACAGTAAATTACCCTGGCATAAAATAGTTGTCAGTGGGTACGATGTGTCCTGTAGCTCTTCCTGAGAGTCATTGCCCACTTCCTTGTGCTCGCCTTCAGTGACTTGATGTATAACAAATAAAGGGGAAGCTGAGTGTTGAAACAAAAAGGAAACAGAGATCCCTCAAAGAGGAGCATTCCTCTTAAACAGGACTCCACCTTCCACCTTCCTTACACCCTGCTCTCTCCACTCCTGCTGGGCTAATACTATAGTCTTTCCAGTATAACAGAATCTCTTGAGTGGTAGCTCACCCAGTCATTGACGCTTATCATCCCCTCCCCAGTGAGGTCCATTGGGATTCAATTAATCCTGATTCATGCCCCTTTTATTGGTGCACATGCACTGTAAGTCCAGCACCAATCACAGACTCCTCACAGCCTTGGTTGAGGGGATTGGTTCCTCCTCAATCAATTACTCCCTTACTCAGTTCTCATGGATTCCACATTCACCATTATTGGCCTTAGCAAAACTGTCAGTCTTTCTCAGTGGTGCCCTTTGGTCGGCCTGTCAACTCCACCAACTGACTTCCCCCAGAGCTGCTTCTCAGCCGCTCTCTGTGAGTAAGATAGGAAAACCCTGCTTAGGCCTGCAGCTGCCATCTACCACACCAGAATGAGCATTGCCAGGAGAAAAAAAGATGCCACAAGAACCATGCTTTATTAGCAGCTGCTCAGTTCAGATCAGACTGCCCCAGAGCTGCTCAGATATTTCTAGTCTGATGCCAAGACCAGAAGGCAAACTGGATGCACCGCAGGACAGAGCAGTGATGCGGCAGTGGAGGAATGGAGGAGCAGAGACTCCTGAAGGAAGGGAGCCAGCTGCAGGCTGGAGTGGGAGCTTGGAGGGGCTCTGGTAAGCTGGGAGATGCCAGCACTGAGCCCATGGTGGAGAAAGTGGAGGGAGCCAGAGGGAAGCCTCACCAAGGACAAGCTGGATGTGGGAGAGACAGCCATGCTCATATTAAGGCCCTGTGGGTTTGTTTCCTGTTTTTTTTATGCTTTGTTGTGTTTCACTGGAGGGGAGCAGGTTAGGCTGAACTCCTAGCCTGGATCAAAGAGGGGAAGAACTGGTGACTCACTGAGGAAGAACCCACATTCAGGCAGGTTAGGATTTAGCTGGGGCAGGGCTGAGCCATCTCTGAAGCACCCAAGGCTAGGGCCTTCATGTCAGTGAAAGGCCAGCCCAGTCTGGGTTTTTCTTTCTGTTCTTCATTTAAGCTGGGAGAGTACAGGCCCTGCAAGAACAGGCGAGACTCCACCATCCTCAAGGCCCAGTGTGCTGTAGCAAGAAGACTCCACCTATAAGCTGCCAGGTCCTAAGACACTGGGGGACTTACCTGGGTTCAAATTATATGCCCTGTGTTCTTCCTTAGTTATTCTTTCCTTCATGATGCTCTGACAGGGGGACTGTTAGGGTCCAGGTGACCATCATAACGGAGAGACAGGCTTGAGGCAACCACATTCCTGTAAGTGCAAAGCAGAGAAAGAGGTTGCCCATTGAGATCCAGGGTGTGGCAGATGCTTTAACATCTGAGTGTTGCATGGACAAGGTGTAGGGGAGGTTGGAGCCCCAGAAGACAGACCAAGTCTGGTGTATCTCAGTAAAGCTGCAGTGGAATTGAACACCTCCCAATTAAAGTACCATCCAACATCAATTGTGGTGGGCGAGAATCTAATAATGCCTTGGTGCAGCTAAATCCAATGGACTCAAGTCCCCATGGCCCAGTTAGGTTGGGCACAGGGCTGCTGGGCCCCAAGGTCCTATCCTGTACTGCGCTGACACTCCCCACACCACACAGCTTACTTATATCCTGGTCTCCACACTGGAGGGTTGAGAGGCTGGCTCTTTGTGGACAGTTAGTCCTCACTGGCTCCTTCTCTAGCTGCCCTAGTCTTGTCTCAGCCAGAGCACAAGTTCATTGCTGTCCTGGGCTCATTCTCTGTGCTTCCACATAGACCTGCACTCTCTTCTAGGAGATGATGCATTCCCCTTTTCAGGGGTAGTGTGCCTCAGCCCTCTTGCCTTTGGACCTGCCGGGCCTCTTAGGGGCCAATCACACCCCAATCCCCAGACACATAGTCACCAGCAGCTAAGGCTCACCAGAAGCTGGGGCTCACCTGCACTTCTGGGTTCAATCCCAGACAGACTTGCTGACAGCAGCAGAAGCCCAGAGTGACTTCCAGATGAGTTGAGCAGTGACCCTGATTGCACTAAGGTTTCTACTCATCACAGGGGCTGGAGGATGGCTCTCTGATACACCTGAACAGTCTTGCCAGCGGTGGTGGAAGCCTAGTGTGACTTCCAGGTAAGTTGAGCAGTGACCCTGGTCACACTCGGGGTCCCACTTTGTAACAGAGGCCAGGGAACAGCTCCCTGTTATAACAATACTACCATACTGAGACATTAATCAGTTTATTGTGGCCTAATATCATCACACATGTAGGTAGTGATCCTTTACTCTGCAGCTAATTAGTCTACTCAGCAATTAAGCACGTGTGTAGATGCAGCCAGTGAGGAACAGATAGAATCCAACCAGGACTTCAGGATTTGACCTTATATAAAATATCATTAAAAAAAAAAACCCAAAAAAACCAACAACACACAACACCCCTACAAAACATCAAGGCATCGTTTTTTTAGATCTATTCTCCTGATCATTCTATGGCATAGGAGAGTCCTATTCTTCCACAGAATACATAGTAATATGCATCCTATTAACTGCTCAACTTCAGATTCTATTTGATCTTTCAGCACATAGGAAGTTTATTTGTTAGGCCTGTTTCTTCATCCTGTATCAGGTTTTCATTTAGTAGGCCTTCAGTGTCTCTTTTTTAGAATTTTTTATTGTTTGTATCATATCTATCTTCATTTACATTTTAGGGTATTTGTGAGGCAAATTATATCCAGTAAATAGAAATACCAGACTGAACATGAGAGCAAACACAATTAAGCATTATGAAAATATTCTGAACGGTCACAGCCACCATTTCAAATCTCTGTGGGTTAAATGCAGCTTCCGTAGAAGCTAATGCAGCTGTTCCTTTTATTATGAGGTGATTTTTGTACCATTAGTTTGGTCCATGTGGCGAAGTAGGAGTCCCTGGCTAGCCACAGAGCTAGCTTTCCACCAGCCTCTGGGCATGCCACCCACCTGTCTCACCCACCACACCTTGTTGGTAATTAATTAAGTTGTTAGTTAAGACAGGAGGCTGCCCATTGTACACCCTGATATTGGGGGGGCTATCCACAGCTCCATTCCACCCCTACACCGCGGCCCAAGCCTCACAGATGGCATCTCGGGCAGTTAGCTCAACCATTGCCTTCGCCCATTAGCTGTGGCCCCCAACCCTGGGGACCTTCAGCTTCCATAAGCCCTGGCCCCATCTCAGGCCCAGTTGGGACCCCGAACATCTTAGCTCTTCGTGGGCATTCCTCACAGTGGGCCCCTGGCCCTTTTGACCCTTTGGTCCTGGCCCCAGCATTGACCAGGCGAGTACCTCAGTGGGGTTTCCCCTTTCTGCCTGCCATAGGGATTGGGGTCCCGCCTTCTCAGCTCAGGTGCTCCTGGAAGTGTGCCTGGCCCTGTGTGGGTCACTCCCCCAGTAGGCTCAGGTGCCTCCAGAAGCTTACCTGGCCTACCCTTCTCTGATGGCAATGGTATATGGCCCACCCAAAGCTAAGGGCTGGGGTTAAGGCACCCCTACTCGCCTTTCACCAGGGTGATCACTGGCCTGGCATTTCCTGGGGGCCTCCACACCACTGGGCCCCACCAGGCCACCCACTCCTGGCACGGTGAAGTTTTAGGTCATGCCCAGGACCAGGAGCCTCCAAACCATCCCCTACAGCTCCTGCCCTTACCTCCAGGATGTTATAAGCAACCTTGCAGCCAGGCAGTGTTACTGCCTGGCTGGCTAGCAGCAAACTGCCTTGTTTATATAGGCAGCCATGGATCTAAAAATGGCTGCCGCAATTAAGCACCTGCTGGCTGCTTTGCTTGGGCCTTAAAGTGGCAGGCACCTACAGTGCCCTGCCACAGTCCATTTCAAACAAAATTCAGGTTATTTTTAAAACGTGTTTATAAACAGCAAGTATTGTAAACTGATTCAGATTAGGAATGAGGCAAGGGAACTGTGCAGACAAAATTGTGGGCAACGTTCTGCTCTTAGCTATTTAGAGTGAGAGTGCTGAAAGATTTTTCCTCCTTAAATTAAAAAAGAATCTTTAATAGAGAGGCAATTACTGGGATCTGGCTGAAGTTATCCTTAGCTTGTCTGATCCAAATCTAGAAATACTTACTCAGTTTTAATCAATCTCACCTCAGTCAAACTTCCTTTGACTTGAATGTGTCACTATTAAGTTCAGCTCTCATTGACTGCAGTGGATTTTTCTTTCCTGAATAAGGACAACTATAGGTTTGGCAACAGTACAGAACAAGTAACATCCTGCAGGCAACATCTTACTTGGCTCTCCTGTCAATCTAAAAGTTTTAACTTTTAATTTCTTGTGGCCTCAAGCAATATCAGGGAGTATCACAGGCAATATATTAATGGGGCCACTGGACCACTGAACTACAGGATGCATCCCTTTATATGTTTCCATGGTAATCAAGTCAAGAATTTAAAGAGATATGCAACAAGAATGAATGCCTCTTGTTATGGTGAAGCAATGCCTGTAGCTAGCAATATATGTTTCCATTGTAAAAAGAGAAGATTTAGGAGTCTAACAGGATGGCAACATTGGTTGTAGAATGATTAGTCTCAGAACTAATTATGAATAAGGTAGCCATTTCCCAGTGTAATATAATTACTTAACTGTTAACCTGTACACCTGTAGAAGGTGTGTGATTACAATAACAAAGTAAATAAGTTCAAGTGTTAAGTGGCAGTTAAAGCATGGGCTTTTCATACTGTGTACCAAAGCTTAATGGTTCAAATCCAGACTTAAATGAACAGTGTAATTCTCTGCTCAGTCTTCTGTGGGAAGTAGGTCACGCTGCCAAAACCTCGATGCATAATTTGGCACAGTTAGTTGGTCTGCTGAGGAAAGAGGAACAGGAGTGAGCCAGCTGGGAGTCTCAATTGACACACAGCATTAGAGAGGACGGCTGCTCTCTTGAGAGAAGAGTCTGGTCTTTGCCTGGCAGAATCTGGTTCCCTCACAATTAATCCTGCCACTGGATGAAAAGACATTTTGCAGAATTCAGAGAAGCATCCATTAATAATCCATTTCTATTTCCAGTTCTATATCTGTGATTTTTCATCCTATATTATCTATTAGCTTAAGGAGGCGGGACTCAGCTCAATCCTGCTGCCACTCACACCAGTGCAAATTCTACCTGACAACTTGACTTTGGGAGGGTTACTTTGGATTTATAGTGGTGTAAGTGGGAGCATAATTATCATTATGTATTTGTTTAATAGCAACCGAATTTTCAGTTTAATCTACTGTAGGATACAGAATTTTTGCAGGTACAGAGATTTTTGAAGTTTTTAAACAGCAGGGTAGATTTTATCTAACTACAAAATCCAAATCCAATTATGAGAAAAAAATAATTAGATTACAAGTAGAATAAAGGATGATTGCTAACCTATATTAAGGAATCCTGAGGTCATGAAGAGGCTCTTCTTCACGAAACCCATCTTGCCTTTTTAGTGCAGAAATAATCATGTATCTGTATGTAAACCTACCTTTCCTAGGCTTTTGAAGTTGCCTAAAGGTAGAACAGGCCCAGACTATTTTGGGGATGACACTCAGCACTGATTTATGTTCAATATGACAGATTCTTCAGAGAAGACAGACTTTTTGTTAAAAGAAGTATCTTTTGGAACAGCGTGTTCCATGTATCTTTCTACAGCAGGACAGCTTGAGGATACAGTCCAGGTAATCTAAATGCAGCTGCAGGCAACTTATGTAATCAGTGTAGACATGTTGATCATGGGCCAATCTCTACAGACCTTGAGGTGGTATTTTCTGTGCATACAAATGAGGACTGCCAGTGATGAGTTGTGTCTTGAACCAATTTCACTTTCACAAGAGCCTGCTTCTGGAACAGTGCCTATCCAAGGAGAGGACTCCATAATTTTTGACTGTGGAAACTGATAAAAGATACTTTATTCACATTGCTCACTAGTCTTCCAGGGAAGACAGGATGTGTCTGTAGTGGGAGTGGGTATGTTATCCTGGGGCAAATCTTCTGCTCTTTTAAATCAGGATTATTCTATTGAAGTCAACATAGCTACAAGAATGTATACTATGTTCTTTACTGAAGCCTTTTGCCATAAACAACCCTTCTCCCTATGGAACTGTGTTTCCTTGCTACACGAATAAATCTGGTAATTAAATGATATGTTGTGTAACTTTTGGCCAGCTACATCTTTACTTGAAAACGAGTCAGTGAAGAAAAGAAACCCTGGGGCACACAGTTGCCCAGAAACACATATCAATCTATTTTCTAGTGCAGCCCATTAATTCTCTTTC